AGAACCAGAGCCAAAGGGAAGGTAAGTCCTGGAGACGTTCGCGCTCAAGTCTTTTCCCTGAAAATTTAGTTTAATAAATATTTAAATTCCCAAGAATTTGCTTAGTGTAAATATATAAAATTAAAAGATGAAGATCAAATTAAAATCACCTCCCAGCGCCATGGATTAAATGCAAAAGGGTCATCATAGTTTTCTGGATTGAAATGCACATAAGGATAACCCATAAAGATCCAACCAGCTGGAATTGTATAATCACCATATTTGAACTCATGACCAATTACTCTAAGCATCGTCGGTACCGTGCTTGTGATCCTAAGAGACTCATTTATCACCTAAAATGAAACACGTACGTACCATATATGTAAGTTTCATGAATAATATATTTGCATGTTAATTAATATATTTGCATCCTTGTTAAGATATAATATATAGGATTTTGTTGGGGATACTCACCATCATGGTGAAAGTCATTGATTTGTAGTCTTCCCATGTTAAGTCAGCCTTCTCATTCTTCTCAATCTTATCTCGGACAATTCCTTCATGTTCTCTTTGCAACTCCTGCATGATTTTAGGGTTGTCGCTTATGAGCTTTATTGTAGCCGCAAGGACCATTGGTGTTGTTTCGTTAGCCAGCAAAAACAGAGTAAATATGTACTCGGTCGCACTCTCTAGACTTATAGTTTCCGCTCCTCTTTCCGTATCTCCAAAGATGGTCTTAAAAACCTCCCCCAATTCCTCTCCTGATGCTCTTTTCTTAAGTACCGTCTCTTTTAGTACCTTTATCATCCGATTTCTTGCCTATCACAAAATATGTATGCTCAGTTCAAGAAAAAATGAAGGCCCTCTATAAATTAATAATGTCGGGACCGAAAAATTCTATTAATCTATAGAGATATTAATTAATCGAATTATTAATTTATAGAGACATTTTACTAATTTTATAATTTCTTGAAACATTATATCTGACAAGAATTTTTTTTTTTATAATCAATATCTTTCTAAAACAAATTACAAGTAGAAAAAAAATTATTAAGTTTAGAAAATAACACAAACTTTTTAAAATGTAGTAAAAATATTAGAATTAAGAATTAATACAAATTTAAGAAAAACAAACAATACTAGTTTAAGATTTCACTAAATATTTTAAAAATATACATATATATTTATAAGTTTATATAATTATTAATTTATGGTATTGATGGGACCATATGTTTACATAAGATTTTCAAAAAAAGTTATTATTTTATTAATTTATCGATTTCTGTCACTTTTTATACTGGTCCAAACTTGGGACCAAAAAAATTTATTATTTTATAGAGATTATTAATTTATCGAGTATTAATTTATAGAGGTTCTACTTTATTTGTTGGTTTTTGTGTGTAATTTTTTTTTGCCCTTGGGCCATTGCTCATTTGCCAGTTATTTGGGACAATTATGAAAACACAATGGCATCTATTTTTCCACACAAATCCTTTCCATATTGAGCACTATATATTAAGGTAGATGATTGAAAAATATGCACCTTCACCATTCGATAGACACCAGTCCCCGGGATATTCCAAGCGAATCGAAACCATTCCGTTGGGAAAAATGTCCAACAGAGTGTGAGTTCTTTTGCTGCCTCTGGTTCCATCTCCCCCATTACTTTCTTCGCAAGACATTCAATAATGATCTGTAACGTTTGATGATATGTATTTGATGAGATGATTTATTAAGTGGAAAGTAATCGTGTTATGAGCTACAAAAACTGTCAAAATATATGACATATTTTTTGTACCTTGCTTGTCGTTTCCTTGACGTCAAGACAACCTTTCCTAGCTCCTTCCTTCATGTGTGTGCGAGCCAAGAAATCAATGTCTTGAATCATCCTTAATTTCAAAGCTTGCGAACCTAGAAACTGGTTTGTCAAGCTCCGGGCATGTTTATGAGTATCCTTATTCACAAACAAGTTGTTTGCCCCAAATAGCCGCACTAAGCTCTTCGGCATACCGGGAATATGATTTGTCTTTGCTATCTCCATGTTCAGTCCAATATCAGTGGAAATTATAACTTTGCCTCCAAATAAGCTTGTCTTAAAAACTGGTCCATGTCTATTTTTTTGGAAGGAAAAAAAAAAGCAAAAAATGAGACCCGGTAATTGACTAAGCTAGGATGGTAATTGCTTATGAGAAAACATCATCAACATATTCTCAAGAAGAAAACCTTAATTTGCTATTTTCTTTTTCGCTTAAATGTGTTATCCAAAGAGAGATTTAATTAATTAGGATTTTTTTCCTGTTCTTTGAAATTTGATTATGTAATAGAAATTTCATCTAATTATATTCACTAGATATCATTCATCATTTCTTTAAAAATTATCCAATTTATTTTACATGTAGTATGCATACAAAAACATCCATTCATTTATTATAAGCATTGTTCTAAAAAGCGGTCTAGGCGGTCGCCTAGATCCCGACTAGGCGCTAGGCGTTCAGGTGACGTCTATATGACCGCCTCGACCGCCTAAAATAACATAAATCTCGTTTTAGTGAATTTTTCAAATTTTCAACTTATAAATTTAAATTTATAATTTTACCGTTATATATATGGTTATAAACATTCATATGTGGTTTGATATGAATTCAAGAAATGCGTGTGTCTAATTTTTGTTTACGATTTAATATTTTATTTTTTTAATATATAGTTTTATATAATATTTAGCTATAATATCTTATTTATAATATTTTATGTTGTAAACGTCTAAACCGCCTAAAATCGTCTAATCAGAGCGCTAGACGCTGGATCACCGCCTGCTTAGCGCCTAGCGCTTTTTGAACATTGATTATAAGGAAGTGCAGAACATCGTAAGTTTTAATTGATAGATGTTTAGATTTCGTAAAAAAAAAAATACTATATTAATTCATCGATAAAACTTATCACAATCATTTCTTAAAAGTTTTCTGTAATAATTAAGTTTATATTCAATTTTTATGTATTATAGTGGTCAAAGACTTATATTTCGATTGTAGTGGTCAAATATGTAGTTGATAAGTAATTATATACGACATTTAAAAAGAAACCAATGAATACATGAATAACCTGAGTACTTTCTCCTTCACGAATGTTGGTATCTGAATAGCATCATGAGGCTTCATGAACTCGAAAGTCTCTCCGATGACTGGAAAACCCATCGATCCTGGAGGAAGTTTTCCATTACTCTTCGGATTTCTCCACTGATAGATCCAATGACACAGCTTCACCACTATGAGTGAAACTATCACAGCCCACAACTCATAAACCTCTACCATGTTAAGTTTTTTTTTCTTTTTTTTTTCTTTCAACTCTTTTGGATATGTTGATTTTAGGATATCTGAGGAGAGGTACTATCTCTTTGCATACTAGTAGTATATATTTCAAGATTATTTGCATGATAATTTTGTATTGTTTTAGAACACGTGTCATTTCCCCCGCAACACGTTATCTTTTTATGTGTATGTGGTCACACGGAGGATGATTTTTTGTTTTGTTTTGTAATATGCTATTTTTATGAGGACATGCATTTAATTTTTTTTTTTTTTTTTCATGCATTTAATTTTTTTGATGGAGGTTAGGGTTTATGATTTTTATGTAGGCTTTAGTTTTATCATGGCTCTATGCGATATTTTATAGCGTTATGTGATAAATTAGATGTTTATATATCAAAATCACATGGTACTGAAAAAAGTCGCCGGTAATAATTAAAGTAAAAAAGAAAAAACACACTCTAATATGTCACGTTATTGCTATTTTTTAATAATTTTCTATATTGTCATTTGACCAATTTACTATATATTTAATTTTATTTTTGTTTGTAAGGACACGAACGCAAACCACCTTCTTCTGCCACAAATAATGACATAGACTCTCCAGCGTTATGTGCAATGCGGTCACTAGCCTAGGTCGTCACTCGTCTTATTGATCACGAGTTGATTAAAGTAAAAAAAAAACACACTTTAATATGTCACGTTATTGCTATTTCTTAATAATCTTCTACTAGAAATTAACCCGCGGTACACCGCGGGACTATATTTTTTTTAAAAAATTATCTATAGATATAACCTATTGTTTTGTTTGAATTAAATGTACATATATATATATATTATATATATTACCTCGCGGTACACCTCGGGTCGATTTTTTATAACTAAAATTTTTAAATTTTGAGTCGTATTTGTTTTGTGAATATAATTTGTTTTGTTTAGTGTTTAAAATTATATAATTGTATTTGATTGTTAATTCTTGGATTTCACCCGTACTATACCGTCCCGTATTAATATCGACCCAAACATGTCCCACCATATAACCCCGTCCCGTAAAAAAATTAAACATAATTTTGTTATATTTTTTTAATAATTTTTTTTATTTTAAAAACATACAATTCAAGTCTAAAAAAAACCATACAATTCAAGTCAAATTAAAAGTTTGCTTTAATAAATATCTATTATAAATTTTAGTGAAACCCATGATTTATTTCAAAAATGTCTCCGAAAGTCTAAATATAGATATCTTCTATATATACATGTTTGCATCCATTTTATGAAATAAATCCTGGATTTTGAACTTATTTACGATCAAATGCTATTGTCTTAAATTCTTAAGATTTTATTTTTAAAAACATATATATTTAACAAACGAATTCAATTAAGAAACAAATTTAATCGTAATTTGTTTCCATAAATATCTAAACTAACTTTTCTAACTTACCGAATATATGTGTTCATAATTACTAACTCCAACATAATCTATTCTCTGATTTTTCTCCACAAAATATTTTTGCAGATTTTTGGCAACTATTTAAGTAACAAATGGAAATTAAAAATCTTTACTTAAATAAAACAAATCTAAACAATTAATACCAATGGCATTCCTTCGTAAATACTTTCAAACTCCAGGATTTATTTTATAAATGTACTCCGAAAATGTATATATAGATATTGTCATTTGACAAATTCACTATTTATTTAATCATTTTTTTGTTCGTACGGGCGCGAACGCAAACATCCCCCTCCCCCTTCTGCCACAAATAATAACGTATATGTGAAATGAGGTCATTAACCTAGGTCACTCGTCTTATTGATCGCGAGTCGACCTGTCCAGGTAAATTATTTATTTAATCAATATGGTAAAGCAAAAGCCGTTGTGCTTGTGTTTAAAATGTATGTAATAGTAAATGATTCTTCTTTTCTCAATTGGTCGATATGGAGTGTCTATTTTTGCCGCTGGGTTACCAATATTGACTTGCAAAGACCACTATGTTTAAATGGCAATGGATCGAGTATTCTGATGAATAAATGAAACGATAAATAAAACTATGTTTAGAGTTTAGGTTGTTGGGGTTCGCGTTTAAATTTTAGGATTTAGATATGAGAAAATTGATTATTCAAATGAAAAGATGATCATGATTTTTATAAGATCAACATGTAAAAATTAATAGCCAAATTCAACCCTTGTGAAAGTTTATAAAAGCTTATGAAAATTTCCAAAATTTTTATATACTTTCGTTAATAGTACTTTAATCATAATTATATTACTAGAAATATTTATTGTTTTTTTTTTCTTTTTGGTTATACTAATGCATGTATATGAAAATTTCCAAAATGTTGATATATATCTTATAATTAGTTCTAGTTTTGATTCATTCTCAATGATTTCTGGTATGGTAGTAAAATAGGATAAGAGATGTTTTGATCAGACCAGCATCGTATGAAGTTGTTATAAGGTATGATTTTTGGTTTGACCGTGGCTCAGACTCTTCCTCTTGAAACTTTGCGGCTTGAGTAGAAACTTTGCGGCTTGAGTAGCAATAATTTTGTTTTTTTTATCCAAAACAAGTCGAAGTCGAGACTAATCCATGAGACGCGGGTTGCATATCATTCTAAGTTCGACAAAATAATTGTTTCGCATTAATTGTTCAAACAAGCAAGGTAACTGATGGGAAAAGGGTATTTTTATACCCGTATAATTTGTAAAGTGTGTTTTCCGACCTGAACAAATATGTAGGGTTCATTCCAATCCAAACCGTAAAAAATTTTGAATTTCATACCCAAACTTTACATTTAGTGTTTTTTTCGAAGTCGTAATTAATCAGTGTTAGTCAATTGTTACGGTTGCTAAATCAACTGTGTTTGATGACGTGGCTTAAAACGACGTCGTTGTGTTTGTTAGAATTAGTTTTGTAAAATTTGTTATGCAAAAGTCGGGTCTCGAACCTTCCCAAATCTCAATGGTTGTGGGTTATGGAAACGAGTGAGGTGTCAGAGGTTCAAAACCCGATTTTTGCAAAACAAATTCATAATCTAACTCAAACAAACACAACGATTTTGTTTTAATCCACATCAGCAGACCCGTGTCAGTTGATTCAGTAACCATAACGGTTGATTACACTAGTTAATTATGACTCTGAAAAAAATACTGAATATAAAGTTTGGATATGAAATTCAAAAATTTTTGCGGCTTTAGGATTCACTTTACATATTTTTTTAGATCGAAAAACATACTTTACCAATTGTACGGTATGAAAGTACCATTTTCCCAATAAGTAATGATATCATTTAGTATATTATTGACCAATGAAATAGTTGAATATATTAGTAAATAGTTTTTTTTTTCTTTTCTTACTAATAGTCTAATCTAATAAATAGTTTTCTTCAGCCGACAGTGATGCTTTTGAAACTCGTGAGCGGATCTGTATATTCAATAATTTGTTGTTGCTAATTAATACTTTTACTGAAAGCTACATGTTTAGCATGAAATGGTCCTTTTTTTCTTTGATAAAGAAAAGTGTTGATCTCGTTACCTCTTTTGTTTAGCATGAAATAGTCTTACTTCTTACTAATTTTGAACTTTCTTTTACTTTAGCATTTGATTGGCTGTTGAACAAAATTTAAGAATTAGTGACTAAAAGTGCGTAGTAGTTATTAGTAGTTACATTCATATTATATTGGCTAAATATCCCTGACTTATGTAGTTTACTTATAATCCAGACTATTAATTCAAAAGTCTGTATAATTATAAACTGATAGTATAAATTTATATACTTACGCCGGAGAGAGACGATAAATAGAGAAAGTCTAGAAAGAGAGAGAGAACAGAGAGACACATTTTTTTTTTATCTATTAATTATTCATCATCGAACCATATGCTAACATGTCATCGGTTTAAAGGATTCTTAAATCCTTAAATTTAGAACCGATTCTACATATTTTTAGCTGTTTTGATTTAATTTTAATCACTTTTGGATTTAGAACATCGATTAAAAATTCCCATTGGAGGTGGTCTAAGCCAACTATGTGTACTTCCAACAAATAAAGTCGTTTGTAGTTTGTTGTAATTTTGTATATTAAAGATAAAGTTGTCCAACCAACAGATAGTAAAGGTAAAACAATTTCTAGGTTTTTGTGGTGTGGAAAGAATTTTCCATTCAAGAATCATTCATGAAATCGTTCGCTGTTTAAGAACAAAATGTTAAGAGTCGTTTGACGTGAATGAATCATAATTTTTGATAGGATAAGATTTAATGATGTGTGTATATATATATATATATATATACACACATCATTAAATCTTATCTATATATATATATATATCAAATCATTTTTGAATATAAGAAATAAAAGTAATGAATAATTTTGATATAAACAGAGTGGTTGGTACAGTAGTAAATGTGATCGATAAGAGAGGAAATGGTTTCAGCCGGAAATTTTACACGAGGATAATGATGCTAATGCTTTAAAGACCTCAACGATTATAATTTATTGCAGTTTTAGACAGTTGCCCACATTAATTCCTCAAGTTTTGTTTGTTTACTCTCCATTTAATGTACACAAAATCTAGATCTGGTTTTGGTGAGTGGGTCGATGAGCAAAATCAGAAACACCTTGTTAAATCAGATACTACATTATTGAGACAGTATTGATTTTTGACAAATCTAGCCTAGCCATTAAATTCATTAGAAGTTGGGAAAATTGGGCATAGACATTAAATTCAAGATTTGAAGCAAACATCAAATTCCATAATTGAAGATAGCTTATGGAAGTTCTCTGTGATTTGTTTTACCTTATCTGGATCACAATATTTGGGTCATCGACTTAACGGTAAGTTAAGGGTTTTTAATTTATTTTTATATTCTGAGATATAAAATATTTATATTTAAATAACAAAATATCTTCAGATGTTTTCGAAAAAAATTCCAAAAAATTAAAAAACTATTTATTGAGTGTCCATTCAACTATGTTAGTTGTCTGTATTCAAATTTGAGTTAGCTCAAGTTAAGATCTGTTGCATTTATTAACGATTATTTCGTTCCTTTTGTCAACGCGGCAATGTCAGTTCACCTGGCAGCATTTATTATATGGCAGGTTGTTCCTTCGATTCTCTTAAGAGACATAATCCTTCACCACGCGCACGGCCAAACGCACCTCTGGTTTTTTCGTTATTAACTGGAACTTCAAGCCCAGTTATATTCTTTTTTGGGTCTTGTCTCCAACGATTTCTATCAACGTCTTTTAGCTAATTTCCTCTCCCAATAATGTCTCTGCGCTAATTCACACTATTTTATTTTAGAAGCTACTTGCACATGGCTATGTTTGCGGTTAGGCGTATCCCATAGGTGGACCGGTGTTGGCAACGAAGGAAAAATGGGATACATCTTTTTAAAAAAATTGTTCTGATTTTGAAACCTTTTAAATCAATTAGAAGGTTTGATATAAATGTTTAAGTTCTGGATCGGGTCTAATATCGAGTTGGATCTGAAATCGAGTTGGTTTTATCATCTAAAATAAAAATTTGTCTATATTTTGGTCTATGTTGAATTTTAATCCTTTTCAAACAAGATTGGTCGAAAACATAACCAGTTAATGCAAAATGGAGGCGAAGGAGGAGGTCAAACTAAAAGTAAGGAATGATAACTAAAAGAAATTCAAAAAGGAAAGCTGAAGAGGAACCTAGTTCAAACTCTAGTAAATCCCCAAACCGAATTATACACAAAATATGATAGGTGTATAGAAGGCATCCAATATGTTTTTATGAAAGTCTTTAGTTGGAAACGAGTCGGAACACTTTGATAATTTGATCCCTATATAAAAAAAATCGAATTACGTCATTTTTGACTCTAGCCCAACTTAAAGACCGGATAAATTTAATTATACTGGTTAATAATTTATCGAGTATCAATTTATAAAAGTTTTATTGTATTATATTCTCTTAATCACACCATTAAAGCGGTAGATGGTAGGATTTGATATTCTTACACGACAAAAATATGTCATATTCTACCATTTAATGGGAAGGACCTGGGACAGTTTAGCAGTTGATACAATTCAATCGTCGTCTGTACATTTGCATGCAAAAAATGTGTCTTTCACAAGATCACCCAACTTGTGTGATATAGCTAGAAACTTCTCATATGCATGGCTTCAATTACCACAAAAGAATGGCTAGATTTTTCTCATCCTTGGACCACACACACAATCATATAGCCATATATATTAAATACGTCAGACCTATTGTCCATAATTATGTAATTTCAATTACAATAGAAATTACATATATATGACACGTCGTTAGAGTATATTTATGTACGGGACACGTCTTGGACCGGCAATAAGTATATGGGCCGTTGTTCATTAAATTGAAGGATGGCTAGAAATAGAAATAAATATATACTTATCTCTATATTAGTAAAGGAGAAGTACAAACGAGAAAATGACCTTCCTTTTAGTCATTACTTCAAATATCATTCGGAGGAAATTATTACTTGTCTCATTTAGAGTAAATTAGGGATACACCTAATATATAAAAAAACGAGTTACTGTAAAATTGACCCTAGGATTTTCTAATTTAAGCCATTGAATCTTACAGAGTGGAACAATTATTCCAGTATACTTTCCTTCTCGTTTCTGGATACCTAGCTATTATGTGGTTTACCTAATATCACTATTTGAGTATATCAATCTGCTATTTTACATATTAAACACCAAAATAACCAAAACTAAAATGATACGAACCCGTATTTAATACTCCTATTAAATTTTCTTAAATTTAAAATTAGTTTCAAAGATATACACATAACACCATTTATTCTTACAACCAAAATATGTCCTAAGCT